GGAAGAAGAAGAGGAAAGGAGGAGGAGGAGGAGGAGGAGGAAAGAAGAAGAGGAGGAAGGAGGAGGAGGAGGACGAGGAAGGAGGAGGAGGAAGGAGGAGGAGGAGGAGGAGGAAGAAGAGGGAGGGAGGGAGGAGGAGGAGGAGGAGGAGGAGGAGGAGGAAGAAGAAGAGGAAGAAAGCCAGGCCGTCGAAGTGAGGGGCATGAAGGACAGTGCCAGGGCGTGAGGGGAGTGAAGGTCGGTGCGAGGGCGTGAGGGGCACGGCACGGCGCTGTAACATTCCCACCCTGAAGGATTTCAAATGGGCGACTGAGTGGCCCAGAACGGCCGCCCTTAAACAATCGATGAATGAGAGCTACGAGCCCTGTGTTTTTTTTTTTTGAATGGCGGCGGTCTCCCAGGTCGCAGGAGGCCCTCTCTGCAGTTCTTGGGCCCGTTAAGCCCCCCCCACCCCCCCACCCTTCCCCCAAAAGCAAAAATCCACTTGGGCCACCGGGGCCCAGCTGGGCTGGTGGAGCAGTTGGTCCGACCAGGAGGGTCCCGGATGGAGGATGGTCCCCCAGTTGGACCACGGGATAGCACTGCTTGGGGCTGATAAAGCCGAACCAAAGAGAAAAAAGATGGAATCAGATGACAAGTTAACTTTACACCCATTTGAATGGCATGATAGTATTCACTGTGGGGAGACCTCCAAATTACAAACCTCTAGGCAAAGGGCACATGAACTGGATAACTTTCCAAATTATGAAACTGCTGGCAAAGGGATCTGCGCAGTAGCGATGACAATGGCAAGGCGACCCATAGCCCATGACAGTGATGAATGACATACCACTTTGAAGCAAGGAGGAAAGAAGATGCATTCGATCAGCGGACTGTTGGCCAAGGGGCATAACCGGTATCACACACTACCAAATTATGGGACACTTGGAAAAGGGGATATAATTTCATATAAACACAAAGGCAAAGAATAAACACTATTCTCAGTGCAGGAATCACCATGACAATCAGCACTGAGGGCCAGCATGGGATCCAGAATGGTGTAGGTGCAGTACGGGTCACCGCACATCTTGGATGACATCCATAGTGGCAAAGTGGGCATGGCTATTTTCCGTTAGCCATGTCATCATACTGGTTGGGCGAATTGAATTCAAAGCTGAAGCCCAGGGGTATCTTTATTCTAGTTTAGAGGGAGCTGACGGTACAGTCACATGATCTGGAGCAGGGAAGGCATAGAACCCTCAAATGCAGACTCGGAACTTCTCATCAGTTCAGAAGAAGACAGGTAATTCCCAGATGGAGGACTGTATTGTTGGGACTAGAGATGGTTTGGGCAGGAATATATATATATATATATATATATATATATATATATATATATATATATATGTATATACTATATATCGTCAAACAGAACTGCCCGGTAAACCGTACGCAGAGAGGGAGAAGAGGACAACAAACGAGGGGCTGTGACAAACTGTTTCGTCGGAGTTTCACCGACTCATCAGGAGGCTGAACCCTCAACAGTCTGCAGAATCCCCTCACTGATTTCACTAAGTGATAATCCACCTTAACCAAAATCAAAGTAGACTATCACTCACCCACACCAGATGTATATACTATATATCGTCAAATAGATATATATATAAAATACATATACACACCAAGGTTCCCTGACAGCTAGTCCACTACTTGGGCCGTAAGAGGATCGACTTACTTCTTGCACTCTTTGTAGAGAAGACACATAAAGCTTACACAAAAGGGTTGAACCAACCAAGTTGAGGACCCAAAAACTTGTTCATGGATGGAAAATCAAATTCACTCACCATCAGTGTCTGACCACCTGCCACCTTTCTCAGGAGGAAACAGCTCTGGTGAAATCAACTTTGACCAGAACTTATGCAGACATTAAGGAGGGCACACCCATGCCATTCTGGTTTTCTGCGGACCTTTCTTCAACTTTTTCCCTCATGAAGCTTACGCAAAAGGGCTGAACCGACAAAGTCGATGACCTGCCAACTTGCTCGTGAATGGAAAAGTAATTTCACTCACCGTCAGTGTCAGACCACCTGCCACCTTTCTCAGGCGGACACTAACGAACATAAACGAGGGCACGGCCACGCCATTCTGGTTCTGTGTGGACCTTTATCCCTTCTCCTTACCACTCGTCTCTATGCATAGATGTCGTGCATACTTGACGACTTACAGGGCAGTCTTGAGAGCATGGTCTTTCGCTCTTCTTTTTCTTTTTTTATATTCCCCCTTAAAATTTGGACCATTTCTCAATCTATGCATGTAATCCTAGCAGAGGGCCATGCGAATCTTCTGTGTATCGTTCCAATTTTAACTGATGTCCCGAAGGACATCAGGCGCACGGTCGTGAGGCAAGCACGCCTGTGTGTGCTAATCTCTCTGCCGGCTCCTGATTTCATGCGATGGGCCCTCTCTGTAGTCACCATTCAACATGTCCTGCCACAAAAAAGAAGAAAACGAGATGGCCAACATCAGGCACAATTGGGCCCTGGGCATGGCCAAGCGGTACATGCGGGCTAAACCATAAGTAAGGGCGCTGCGGCCATTGGCCGTGGCTAACTGCCGTGGGCAAGACCTGTCTTTTTGTGTTCTCTTGGAACCGGGCACTGATTTCCTCCGGTGAGTCTCACCGCCGTAATCACAACTCTGCTGTACCGTTTTTCCATGGGCCTGCCCCTTTCTTCGCTCTGGAAAAAAAAGTACACATGGCCAACGTCAGGCACCACTCCCAGGTGGTACTATGTGCGCTAGGCGGTAACTGGGCATTCCACGACCATTAGCCATGGCTAACAGCTGAGAGCAAAATCTCCAGTTCTTCGGAACCAGGCACGGATTTCGTGCAGGTGTGTCTCGCTGCACTGTACCATTTTTCCGTCGGCCTGCCCCTCCTTGCTATGGGGAAACGAAAAAACGCACATGGCCAATCTCAGGCACAAATCGACCCTTGCCACACCCAGGTGGAACTGTGTGCACTGATCGGTACAGCACATGGGATGGGTCATACCATGTGGAGCGGGCACTGCTACGTGGGATGTGGGTTGGGAAGTACTATGTGGGACAGATTATATCATGTGGAGTGGGATGCACTACGCGCGCAGGATGGTAATGTGTGGCACGAGTGATACTAGGTAGGTTGGGCGGCACACTGTGGGATGGGTCATACCATGTGGCGTAGGTGGTACTGCATGCGGCAGGTCGTATTATGTGGTGTGAGACGGGTCATAGTATGTGGGCAGGATGGCACTAGGTGGTCTGGCTGGTATAGTGTGCCGTAGAGGGGCGATGCTGCATGGACTGGGGTGTACACATGTATCCCCACCCGAAAAACAAAAACAAAAACACACTTAAAAAAAAAACAAGAAACCCAAGCCAATGTTGCAGAATGATATACATACGTGACCAGTTGGTGGGTGTACCTGAGAGCTCGAATCCCACACAAATGCTATTCAAAATGTATCTGACTGCAATTACGGCCAGACGTGGACGACGACTTTGACCACAATCACGTCTAGAGCTTTCAGAAAAAAGTCCTAATGTGAGTAGACCCTAATCTTCCTCTTTTGTTCAGTTCATCCCCGTGACCAGAACTTATGGCAGGAGTTGGCAAAGAAAGCCCCACTGGGACGTCCACTTTTCCACCGGGGGTCCTATGTACTTGTATTCGAACATCGATCGGCCATCCATCCGCACAACCCGAATGCCCGCTCTGGCAGTGATTCGAGCCAAATGCATTTAGGAGGGTGACTCGAACATCAGGAAGAGAGCAGCGAACTGACGCACAAAACAACATCCCAGCAGAAACAGCCCAAAAAGAAATGACGCTGCCTAGCCATGTTTCAGAGAGAAAACGAAAAAAGGAAAAACCATCTCTGCTGCATCCCACTCAGGCTGCCACTCCTGGTGATGCATTTCCAAAACTGGTTGTCCCCTGATTCGACGTCGCGCAGCTGAGTACTTGTACTCGAACATCCGCAAAAACACTGCGTATGCTCCAGCTGCAAGCACCACGCACCGATGAGAGGCATTCCTAGCAATTGACCGGCATATTACAAGGAGCGCTTTTTGCTTGAAGTATCAGGTTAGATCAGATAGATAGAAATGAGCCGAACTTGGTCCCCAGCACCATGCAGGGATGAGAGGGCATTCTTAGCTCTTTTTTTTCTTTCCACTTCTACACAATTGAGTTGGAGTTTGTTCCCATAGCCCACCATCATTTATGACACTCTTCCCTAGCAAACGGAGAATTGTATATCAGGCAGCTTGAACTTCGCAGCAGGCACGTAGGATATGCATCTAGCACTTCTCGTGGGTGTGCCCGTGGAGACTACTCAGTGCTATTTGCAGCCTTCTCATCAGATACTGGAAACACGCTCCCAAACGCATCGCGTAAAGAGGACCACAAACTGACAAGAGGGGCATGCCCATACCCACCTTAAACTCTTGAAGACAAAGTTGTTGTCATTCTGAATTTCAGTGTTTCTTGACACATCAGCAGACACGTGACCATCGTACAAACAAGTAAAAACTGAGACAAGGAGATGTGCAAGCATGGGATTAACACATCAGCTGACATACCAGCAGACAAAAGCTTTTTCAGAAGACACTTCCTTCAGACTGTGCTTGACCGCTTTCATGCACACCTGCACAAAGCTCGATGTGCAATACAACAGTTCCGTCTGATACCACCGCTAACTTTCTCCCTCGCCAAAATATATTGACGCAATACGGCCTTGTGTCAATCCACCTTCCCCCTGGCCAGCTGAACAGGCATTCTTCCAATTCCGTCATGCATATCCACACTACTTGGGAGGAGGCACACTGTCATTTGGCGACTTGAACAGGCACACCCTCTAATTACAGCTAAGAAGATGAAAATCAGTTAAGGTAATCAAACAGCAATGGAGCTGGATACATTTCCCTGCTATAACTGAATTCTCTCTCTCTCTCTCTCTCTCTCTCTCTC